ACTCTTTCCTGATTATCACCACAGGTTCCTCGCTACTTCTACATTTGACCCGGTCTTTTTTCTCCTCACTGTAGCCAGATTAATCCTCACATTAGATCACATTTCTCCTTTATTCAAAATTCCACCTAACTATGAGTAAAGATGTTTTCGTAATGGCCTCAAAGGTACTGTGTTCTGGTACCCAACAATCTCTCTGGCCTCAACTTCTACCACTCTCCTCTATGTTTACTCCACTCCGACCACGTAGTCTCCTTGCTGTTCAACCATGATCGCATCTCAGAAACTTTGTACTGCTCTTTCCTTCTCCCCCAAATATCCAGAAGAGTCAGCTCTTACTTCCTTAATGTCTAATGTCATCTTAAGGAACTACTCTCCTGAATATCTGATATAAAACATTAACAACCCTAATTACACATACTCTACAACACTCCTCTCTTCCCCTATTTTTTCAATGCACTTAATAAATACTGACACCTGATATATTCTGTATTTATTTGTATACTGTCTGTCCCATCCCTTCCTCTAACCAAAATGTTATATAAAGATTTTGTTCATTTTGTATCCTTGGCACCTAAAACTGTGCCTAACACATAGTAGGTACTCAAATATTTGCTGAATGAATAAAAATACATAAGCCATCCACCACTGCTAATCTTTTATATGAAGTCAGAATATTTCAATATGAAAACCATTCTTGATCATTCTCATGCTAATATATAAGTCTGTGAAGTAACTGACAGATTACTCAATTCAGTTTACTCATGACAAATCTTTTTCTCAACTTGTTATTTAAATATGGCATTTCAAACAAAAAGAATTTCATTGATAAACCCACTTTTTTCTTCTACTGATTTCTAGGACCACTGGTGATTATTTACATTACAGCTATTCACGTAAGCAGATGTTTACAAACTGGAAGAAAATTAATTCTTCTTCCTCCAAAAAGGAGAGAACAAAAATGATTTTAGAGCACAGGATGGCAAACTTTCTACAGAGAGCTAGACAGTAAAACTTTTAGGCTCTGTGAAACACAGTCTCCCTCTTTTGTTATAACTCTTTAATGTAAAAATCATTCTTAGTTCCTGGACATACAAAAATAGGCTACTGGCTAGATTTGATCCAGAGGTCATAATTTGCCTACCCTGGTTCAAAGAAATGTCCTGAGTGCTTAGTCTAGTATTTTACAGACACCCAAGATACATGACTACATACACCTAAGAAAGGCACTTAAAAAGGCAATTATGAATATAGCATGTTAGAAAGATGGACAATTCTCAAATTTTTCCTGAGCTGTAAAAGTATAGCTGCTATGTTTTATGTCTGAAAAACTTATGTTAGGATAAATGTTTTTTAAAATACTTCAGAGCAAACTAGTACATGACTTCTAGATAATCCTTCTAATATTAATTCCCTTCACAAATTAATGGTTAATCCTATGACATTTATATCTTTAAAAAAAATTAAGAAAAATCAAAAATAGTACCTCATACAGAAACATATTCTTAGACTCTTTAGATAAATTTTTAAAAATGAAATCTGAATTTCACCTGCCACGATGTTCCCAGAACGTGCCACAACCTTGAATCCATCAGCTACTTTGTCTACACTATCTCCATGGGTAAGCAAAACAATTTCTTCTTTCTGAAGGCTCCTAAACATACAAAAAGTAAAACACAGCACACAAATACCTTAATTACAGACATGATTAAGAGGTTCTTCTGCTTTACTTTATTCAGCTTTGAGAAATAACTGACATAACATTGTGTAAGTTTAAGCTATACAACACGATGATGTGATTTTATGTGTGTGTGTGTATACGTACATATCACAATAAGGTTAATTAACACATCCATCATTTCACATAGTTAACCGTTTTGTGTGTGGTGAGAACATTAAAGATCGATATACGCACTCCCATGTTTATTACAGCAGTACTCAAAATAGCAAAGATACGGAAACAACCCGAATGCCCATCAACAAATGAATGGATAAAAAATATATGGTACATATACAATATGGAATATTATTTGGCCATGAGAAAGGAAGATATCCTCTCATTTGCAACAACATGGATGAACCTTGAGCACATTATGCTAAGTGAAATAAATCAGAGAAAGACAAGTACTGTATTATACCACTTATATGCAGAATCTAAAACAGTTAAACCTATAAAACAGAGTGAAATCGTGGTTCCAAGGGGCTGGGGCATTGGGGGCAGGATGGGTAAGAGTAATGGTGTTTAAAGGTATAAACTTATAAGGAGTAGTAAATAAGCCACAGGATCTAATGTACAGTATAGTGAATATAGACAATAACATTATGCTCTATGTAATGTGATATCATTATATCAGTATTCATATTACAGTATTTAAATATTTCAAAGTAATATGTTGTATACCATAAACTTATACAATATTACACATCAAATTTACTCAATTAAAAAAAATTCTGATCTGTCCAATTTGGAGAAAACTATTCATTAAGAATTAATTTAGGTACGAATCAATGGAATCTTTAAGGATTTATGTTAATAAAATAAACCTATAATTAAAAATAATTAGCACAGGTAAAAAAAGGATAATAAAAACTACATGTGCTCGTTAACAGACATCATCCTACAATTTACAGATGTAATGCAATTAGAGGGAAATGTGGTTTTAAAATAAAAATTTAGGTCATAAAGAAATAAGTAAGTAATCAATAGTCCATCAAAATGGGCTTTCCCCAAAACACAGAAAAACCCCAAAAGGGAAGCATGTGACTAAAATATAAGTTTTCTGGTGTTTCAGAAAACTGAATGAAAATTCAGTGATTTTTTTGGTAAAGCAGAAGATAAATAATTCTAGGAAGCCAGTGAACAGCTCATTCACCAACTTTTACATAGATTAAAGCTATAGCACCTAACCTACTAACATGCAGCAATAAAATCAATTAATACATTCACCATAATAAAAAAGATAGCAATTCCAGGTATTCTCAATGTAGAAAAGTGACAAGAAAGCAAACACAACACATATTAAGTAATGAGTCCAATAAATGGTACCTTGCTAAATACCCAGCAAGAATGTGGTGAAGGAAAAGTATACGAATGCATTTGGCAGATGCAGGGCAGTTTAAAACGGTACCCATTCACTATATCTGGCACATTCATGTTTAGAAGCACATTCCACCAACAAGTGAAAAGGGAAAATTGCAAATGTTGGCATTATAATATGCAATCCCAAGTAGGTGTCCAAGACTGCAGAGGTGCTTTTAAATTATGTTACAAGTGCTTTTCTTATGCTCACTTACCATCACCACCAAACTCTGCTGTCTTGACACACTCAATTGGAAGACAAATAAAATACTATGACAATGACATCTTTGGCCAGTGGCCTTAACTTTGTCTTAAAGAGTTTGGAATCTCCAATTTTGAAGCATATAATCCCAACTTTAAACTAGTTACTCTACCACCATTCTTATTCATCTAAAAATATCTGTAATACCTGAATAACGAGCATGTGTTATCCACACTAATACTGAAGACTCCATCTTCTCTAACGCTTTTTTTGTGCACAGTACCTCCAAATACTTTATTCATCATCTGTTCAAAGAGAAAATAAATTGATGTAAACATAAATCAAAAGAAAATTATCCATTCTGTTATGCTAATTTAATAATTTATATTCCTTGTTTTCAAGATATGAATAAAATTTGCTTCTATACACTCAATAAACCTCGTGTACCTCTGCCTCCCCTAATCTGAAGTTCTTATTTAGACGACAGCTGAGTGATCAAGATAACCAATGCTGTTGGAACGCTACACAATTTAAAAGTCCATAAAGTCTTAATTAAAGGCTTTTTTAAAGCCAATGGCTTGCAGTAAAGTTTAAAGCTATCTTACCTGTTGAGGCAGCTTTCACGCTTATTTTTGGTTCCAGACTACATTACTTAAGGTTGAAAGTGCAAGGAATTGAACAATCAGCTAAGTGTGTGTTTGTGGGAGGAGGGGATAACTTTCTGATAATAAAACGATTTGCGTCTTACTGAATTTTTGTTTTAATATTCTATTTTGGCTTAAAGAGGGAAATAACAAAATTCAGGAAAAGTGTTACCTCTGGTGGGAAGAAAGAAGAATGTGAAGAAAAATATAAAGGAAGTGGGAGTTAAATCAGTAATAGAGATAAAAGGAGAAAAAAGCAAATAATTTTTTCTTCTAAAGAATTATTTTTCCGTCTTTCTTCCTAATTAATTAATAGGAAGAATTAAAAGGAAATAATTAGAAAGGCTGTGACAAGAGCGTCTAGTTAATGGGAAAATACAGTACATAAGAGGTTGAAATTACTAAAATTTCAGGATGCCATGGAGGGCAAAGGTACACACTAGAGACCTTAGGTTCTAAAATTACCCAAATAATAGTCACTAAGAAGTGGCAGTCCTTTACAAACAGCCTATTAGCTAGATGGTATCATCTAGATCAATATTTTATGGAAAAAGACAATTTCTGCCTAAAAGACCATCGTCAGCCAATTCCATTATCCTACTATGAAAGCTAGGATGGCATAAAGGCAAAATTTTTTGCACATTTAACATGAGCAGGCCTGGCTCTGGCTACCATAAGATACCTATTGAATGACAGAAAAATTTGGCCTTACAATTATATAGAGGACATAATGGAGAAACAGTCAGCCAAGATCACTTAAATTAAGGAAGCATTTTCCAGACCTATTTAACTATAAGTGGGTGCTTAAAAAAAAATCTTGTGAGACTCTTCTTTACAGAATGTTATAATGCCTCTCAATATACTAAAAACCATTTAACTTAATTATAAGTTGCACTATATAATTAATATTGACTACTGTGGCAAGGAGATCAATAAATTATGTAAATATATTCTGAGGCCAAGGTACATTTAAAAAGTGAGCCAATTTCCAACATTCAACTCAATCAAGATGCAGGCTCTAAGAAAATATATTCATTAGAATATTAAGTGGGAAAATCTAAAAATAAGTTATTACCCAAGTCAAATTCATAAGTACCATTTGGCTTTTCAGAGAACATTAATGGGAGAAAAAGAGCCTTTTACTCTAAAAATCCTTGTCTGCCTAAAGAAAATATCCATTGTTGTAAATTCTGTACTTTGTACTTCACGTAATTTTTAGTGATCAGTATTTCCTCTAAATCAAAGTGGTAACCATAACAAACAATTAGCAAAAAATGAAGTCTTGCTAAAAGTGTTTTATAGACCAGTGATTTTTAATATCCTGCTTTTATATCAAAAATAAAAATAAAAATACTTATGATTTATATGTCTTCCCTTCACTGAGAGCTCCAGAGTCAGCTAGAAGAAAATACACTGGTCTGTTCACTTTCTACTTTTTACAGCTTCCCTCTGTGTAATATTCATATTAAAGCACAGCAGTTTCAACCAGATTGTTATTTTTAAATGACTCCGTTTTGCCCACTTACAAAAATTTAAATTATCTTCAATCCAAAGACTTAAAACAACTCAGTCATTGGGAGAAAAAAAATACAAAATCTTTATTATTAAGACTGTAATGTAATTTAATGTAAGAAATTAAAAATTAACAGCTAATTTTCAATAATCAAATAGAGAGGACCAGAATATAACGAGGAAATTAATAAGCTGATAGTTTAATTAACACCAATCCCATTTTGATCATAAGATCTCACAATTATATTAATTCCACTTGTATTGTGACTGTCATCCCTTCCACTTTTGTATGTGCTAGGCCAAACAGGGGGCACAGGGAAAAGAGGTCAAGACAATTGACAAACTAGTAAATCCACAGTCACTATATTTATTTGGTTATTCTTATCATAGCAGAAAATTCTGAGTTAAAAAAAAAGAATTACATTGCTTCTGACATCAGAAAAGGCAAAATACTATAAAATGTTAATTAATAATATTATATTACTCAAGGAATACTTTCTCAGTTAACTCAATGTTCAGATGATCTGGTTAAATAAGGTACACTGTCAAAAATTATCTCAACTAGAAAGTCATTTTGCTTATAATCACCAAGGACAATGTTTCTTAAATGTATTTATTTGAATTCCCACCTCCTTAGTAAACAGATCTTACTAAATAAATCATTATTTGATAAGTGAGAATTCAGCATCTAACTAGCTCAGTGTTATCTTTCTATCATCTTATTCAATAATCACATTCTACTTCTCTGGTAAACATATGCTACTTAAAAATAAAGTAAGCAAAAAAGGTATTAGAACAGCCAAAATGAGTTTCTAAACATTTAACTCACAGAAGAATAGCTTAGCTCAAGACCACAACTAGTACCTATTTATTCTTGTTTTTGATACAACTCCAAAGTACAAATAATTATTAATTAGTATTACAGTGGAGACACCTGCAGACACCATCATAACCACATGATCAAAATTAACATCATTTGTCATGGCACAAATCAATATCATGTGTCTCCTAATGAGATGCTGAGAAGACCAGAGCATCACTTTTGTGGTAATCCTGCCAAAAATATATGACCTGGATGTTATAATGAGGAAACATAAAACAAACCAAAATTGAAGAATATTCTAAAAAGTAACTGGAATGTACTTAAAAAAAAAAAAAAAAACTGTCTAGGTCATGAAAGAGAAGGAAAGACTGGGGAATGGGTCCAAACTAAAGGAGCCTAGAAAGTCAAGACAACTAAATAGAACACATAGTCCTGGACTGGATCCGGGACTTGCAAAGGATGTTAATTAGACAATGAATCGTGAATAGAACCTATGGATTAGATACTAACACTGAATCAATGTTAACTTTGTGATTTTAATAGCTGTACTGTGGTTATGTAGGAAAGGGTCCTAGTACTTAGGAAATACAAAAAGTAAAAAAGACATGTCTTACTTTCAAATGCTTAAAAATGTTGACAATTGGGAAATTAAGCAAAAGTATACAGAAGCTCTGTGTACTATTTCTGCTCCTTTTATGTATATTTGAATGTTTGAGTTGTTTGGTTTTTTAATGGACAGTGTTTTGTTGTATGCAGTAATATATTACTTTTCTGGAAATAGATTCCCACTCATGTTAGTTCTGCTATACTTAGTGCAGCAACTCATAAACAGTTATAATGTGTATAAATTATCTCAAACAACTAAATATCTTAAATACTCTAAATACCAGTAAGATAGGAGTCCCAAACAGAACAAAATTAAGTCAATTCTTAAGTCAAATTCACTGATGTACCTGCATGCCATAGCAAATTCCAAGAACAGGCTTGCCAATAGTGAATATTGCTGGATCAAACCAGGGAGCATCTTCTGCATACACAGAATTAGGTCCTCCAGATATGATAATAGCACTGTGGATTTAAGGAAGAACAGTCACTGAAGAACCTCTCATTTCTAATTTTTATACAAAGTCTACAGATTCCAAGATTTTATGTTTTCAGTATATTACAGAATATCCAGAGTCTATCGCAGCTAATTAATATTCTCCCACACAGCTTAATTATTCTACTTTATTACACTGTGTGGAAGTCTATCAATTCGTTTACCTGTTAATAAGCACAAACTTCTAAATATATAAATACCAATGCTTTTATCTATGAAGGTTAGCAATGAATTTGTTTTCTTTTCCTCATCAAGAGAGGAAGTAAAAAGAATTCTAAAGGGAGAAGGAAAAAATATAGGTCCTTCAGGGAGTCAAGGAGTAAAAGCAGGTCACAAAAGGACAACTGAAGGTATTATGAAGGGCCCTGAATGACTCAGGGTAAAATACTCTACAACAAAGAATAGCGGAAGGTGAAAAATTACCTAACTTTGCCTGTTTAAAACCTGCCCAACACCCTCTACAGTTTTACCTGAGACTCAGGAAAGGGGACTAACATCAATTGTGCCCCATATGCCCTGCTCCCAGACCCCATGTCAATATTATAACTTAGTTACGTTACAATTTACAGAGCATTCTATGGCTTAACTTGGAAGTCAAACTATTAGTATAAAGGAAGCTGCAAACTGAGACCTATGTTCCTCACCTGGCCACTGATATATCTAATTTGGCCCTCTGCATTCACTCAAAAAAACTTAGAACATCTTAATACTATTATGAATTTTACGTAAAAATTCAAATTCCTGGATTTTCTTTAGGAAATGAAGGGGGAAAAAAATCTGGCAACACTGAGCCATCACTCTCAGAGCATGGCTACAAATAACTGGAATCACAGAGACATGCACCATTACAGGACTTATGTTCTACTTATATAATGCAGGCATGCTTATGCCCTTTACTCAATTTAAGGTACCCTCAGGCTCATTTTAAGCATGAGTTTGTAGGAATCCTGATTTACATATATTTCTAAAGGAAAATGCACAAGATCCAACCAAAATCTACTTACAAAATTAGATTACAACTCACTTTATAATTAGTGGCTGCCTGCCACGTAAAAACATACAAACTAAAATGCTAAAGCTATAATACATCCAGAACAATAATATAACAAAGATCAAATTCATAAAAATTACTCAGCAAGCTAAGGCTTTTTTATATGATAAATGCTAACATCTTTTAAGATAACAATTTTAAAGGGTTGTGGGGTTAGCCCTAAGGGTAGCTATGTAACCTAGCTCCCTAAAACTGCAGAAACTAAAATTCTATAAAACATATTTAATAATCATGACCTCTAGAATTTCAGTATGCTGTATATAGTTTTATAAAGGCTAATAACCATCATGGGACTGCCCAGCATCCCTCATTAACCTGATAAGCAACTCAAGGCTCTAAGATTCTTAATACCGGAAAAGGCAACAGTCTTAGTCAAGGATAAAACTCAAGCAGTACTTAAACCAATTATGAAAATTCTTATCTTAATAAGTCTTGAGAAAAGTTAATCACTCATTCTGAGTCTTCTATTTCTACCCTGCTATTATTTTTAAAGTAACTTGCAATTACAAGGTCAATAAGCCATAAGCCATTCCAGACACAAATTTTTTGTTATCAGGAAGATCAAGGTTCTAAAAACAGGTAGGTTAAGATGTCTCTTATGTCATAAAACTAACATTTATTCTAGAAAAAGGGTGTTCAAACAGACATCTCAACAGAGAGGACTATAGTAATAAAAGCCACAATGCTATAGTTCCTATTCTCCTACACAGAAAAGCTCTAGGCACAAGTAGGGCCCAGGAACTGTTTATGATCAGGTGATTAAAAAAAAACAAAAAACAATTAGACCTCTATTGCCAAGTATTTGTCCACCTATTTTAAAATAATTATCTGGATTAGTTTGCTGGAGATTTGTTGGTTTGTTTTGGGTGGGAGAAATGAAGAAGCTTGGATTTGACAGAGAGCCATTCAGATTTCTCACAAAGTTTTTTGATTCCCCTAAAACTGGTTCTTGCTGGCGTGTGGAGACAGGTGACTTGATGAACTCAAGACTCCCATCTTCCTCTAAAATTCTAGTTTAAAAAAGATAGCTGTTTTAATCTGTATCCTAGGACTAGAACAGAGTTAAATTTGCTTATCTGACTTCCCATTCACTCTAGTTCACAATCACAGGATAATGTATACATGTTATAGTCTTTAAAAGTTATTTTTTTTCCATTAAACAAATGTTTAAAAAAACATGATACTTTGGAAGAAACATAGCATTAACATTTAAGAGCCAATTAAAGATATAAACTGCAGTTGCTTACTTCTGAATAACAAAGAACAGTAATTCCATGAGAAAAGGTATAGTACTAACTAGAAATAGTTATTAAAAGAAGAAACTGTATACAAGTTGGTTATCGTTTTGACTATTCTGAGAGTACAAGCTGTGGAATCATCCCTTATATTGGGCTTACAAAATCTTATTTTAGAATTAGTTTCTTAGGATAGGAAGCAAGGGAGACTTGCTATACACGGAGTTCTCATTTAGGAATTCCAGTCGCTACATAGTTCTTTGATCAAATGTTCTGGGATCAGTGAATGAATGAATGACCATAATAGCTATGTTTTAGTCTGACCCAGAAATCCTATATGACATAACATATTCAAATTATAAGTTTTTATAACTGTGCCATTAAAATTTAGGTAATATTTTTAACTGAAAAACAAATTCTTCCTTTAAATTTTTAAAAATCGGAACTATGGGAAATTTCTTGTAAAACCATTCCATGTCTTATATTCATAAAAAATGCAGTGCCCAAGCAAAATGATAATAAAATAGCCCACAATCTAAGCTCAGTCTCCTCAGAAAAACGTAAGTGAAAAGTCTACCGGAATCCTTGCTCTTTTATAGCAAATGCTGGTGTTTCCAAGGGGAAGATTTCAGACTGCACGAACAGCTCCCGCACTCTCCGGTCTATGACTTTCCCGTACTGCGCGCCAGCATCCAGAATGACAACGGCTCCTTCGTAGCGGTGGCAGCCATCCTTCAGGTCTCCTCCAGCATTCTCCACCTGCGAATATTAATACAAATATCCTAATTAGGAAAATTCGAGCTACTTTAAAAAGCAACAGTCACTGCCAGCCAAAACACACAGAAACAAAAACTGTTAGGACTGTCTTAGTTGCCAATTAAAAATGCTTCTTTTAAAGTGAAGATTTTATACATATTCGTATACCGGCATACATAAACTTTAATAAAAGCTACCATTTGACTATGTGATACAGTCACTTTACGTATAATGCATCTTATGTGCATTATCTAATAATATGGTAAGCACCAACCCAGTTGCACCAAAATAGTCCTGGTTTATGCCTGTTATACTGGCATTATTACTAATAGTGCCTCCTTCAAATCTAAAAAGCATCCCATTTAGATCATAAATTATATGGTCACCTTATCTAATATTCACGGCATT